CGTTTACCTATTAAAGTATGAAATAATGCTTTTTTAGTTTAAAATAAGTCCATACTAAATAAGTATAATGGTTATACTCTTATAGTAATAGTGACGTACTTTAAAAGCATAAAATTGATGCCCGCGAAGTACGACATATAGTCTACCTAAAATAGCAAGAGCTTCTTCCTTTTTGGTGGATAAATTCTTGCAACCTGCGTTTTGGCCTATATCGATATATCGATATATCGATGGTTGGAAAAGGAGGGAGGCGTGGCTAAAACGCATGTTGGAAGAATTTATCCACCAAAAAGGAAGAAGCTCTTGCTATTTTAGGTAGACTATATGGCGTACTTCGCGGGCATCAATTTTATGCTTTTAAAGTACGTCACTATTACTATAAGAGTATAACCATTATACTTATTTAGTATGGACTTATTTTAAACTAAAAAAGCATTATTTCATACTTTAATAGGTAAACGAAATTGTATACTAATAAAGGATAAAGTAGTTTGGTGCTAAAATAGTTAGTTTGTTTCTTCCGTGCACTTTTTTTAAAAAAAAATTTGTTTTTGAGGTTTTCCTATCGGCACACGAAGAAATTTTGAGTATCACTTTTTGTTAAACTCATATGTATTTTTAGTAAATTGACTACTAAAGTGGGGAAAAAACGAGAAAAAGACGAAATTTCTTATTTAATAGAAGTGTCTTTAACAATATATGACCTCTTTTTTTCAATATTTAGTAGTCAAGTTAAGAAAAATTCGACATGGACAGTGTCGTAACTAAAAAGGGTTAGATGAAGCCCCGACTTAATCGCAACAATTATTAATTAACTTTTAATTGAATCATAAATATTATAAATGAGGCTTTACTTTAGGTTATTTTTCTTTTTCTGTGTTTAAAATTTCACAATCCGGTTAGATTATATACATCGAAAATACTTTTTTTTATGAAGTTAGGGGCGCTTAAAACATACAGTATTCTGCTGAGCACATTTGAGCTTGTCTATGAAACCCCCCCCCCCAAAGAAAAATATATCATGTCATGTACTTGTCTTATATCCAAGCTTATAATTCTTTTAATTATTGAGAATCAGTTTCAAATGAACACTATTTTTGTTTTTTTTTTGTAAAATTGAAATCTTATATATTCACTTACACATTTGACACTCAAGAGCTTAATTTTAGAAATTCATTCACAAAGTCATCCTTAACGCCATCTAGGGTTTAACGCGCGTATCACAGCTGCCGTTGATGGTAATATTCATATATATGGTAATTCAACAACTGTATGCACTGTACACTTAAAACACTTATTATTAATTAATTATATCTTTATTTATTATTATTATTGCATAAATAAGCACTCTAAATGTATATTAACCATTCCTAATAGTTATTTACTACATATTTCGTTGATTAACGATAATATTTCACAATGAACCGAAACGTAACCGAATCGTATAACCCAATTCGGTTACTACTCGGTTTTCCCAATCCGCCAGGGCCAATGCCAAATTTTAGTAGTCAGACTAAGAAAAATTAATATCGTTGCAGTTTTTCCCCACTTTAGTAGTCAATTTACTAAAAATACATAGTGAGTTTAAGGAGAAGTGATACACAAAGTTTCTCCGTGCACAACTTACCCCTGGCACTTTCAGCCCCGGTCTCCCCTACATTATATCAAGGATTTTTTTTTAATAATATTTCATATTTTTAAAGTATATTTTTAATTTTACTTATAAATTTTCGTTTTAAATTGATAAATTTATATTATTATTAATTTTTCTTTGTACCTAATTGAAAGCAACAAATATTATTTGTAAAATTTTTTAATAAATTACATTAATTGCTTTCAAATTGATAAAATAGTAAATTTTATATTAGAAATAATATGCTTCCTCTTGGAGGAAGCTTTGTAGTTTTTTCGTTTATATAATTTTTAAAAATGGTGAAAACAAATTTTCCTCTATATAGAAACATGTTATATGAGATCCTGATCAATTGTCAGGATGTATGTATGTGTGTGTGGATCGTTTTTGTGAACACGATATCTTTAACAGGTTTTAATGGATTTGTGTACAATTTGGTAGGCTTATTTATCACATTAATCTCTCAAAATTGACGAGAGGATTTTTAAAAATACCCCCAAAAAAATTTTATCGTCTTTTTTTCCAAAAACTTTTTTTTATTTGAAAAAATTTATAAATAGAAAAATTTAAAGTAATATATAATATAATTGTCTTCCTTATGTCAAGACGAATTGATTGGTATATATAAAGTATAGATTTGATTGAAATTTAAAGAATTAATGAAAGTTAAAAAATCAAAAATTCACATTTCAGCTAAAAAATGTTGTGTTCATTAAAATTCAAGTTTATATATGAAATAATTTTATTCCCTGCATTAAAACGAAACGATTGGTATATATAAAGTATAGATTTGATTTAAATTTTAAGAATTAATAAAAATTAATATATGAGATAAAAATTTTTGTGTTTTTTTAAATTCAAGTTAATACATAAAATAATTGAATTCCTTGCATTAAGACGAATCGATTCGTATATATATAAAGTATATGTTACACACAAAATGATTTAAAATTTTCTTAATTTTTCAAAAAATTTAATTAATTTAAATCAGTTTTTAACTCGAAATGTTTTAAATCAATTAATTGAATTATATTAATTCATAGCTTCCTTCGCGAGGAACGAAATTTATTGCTTCACACAATGAGGAAGCAAAATGTTTATGAAATAAACATAAAGGACACCCTCCTTGTTTTTGGTATATGGGGTAAAAATCCATAGCGAACTAAGTGAAAAAAACGTTGATCGGATCGGGCTGTAACTTGCACATAGTTTAGCCCTATGGGTGAGTAATTTAACCATGAAGTATTGTTAGGTTTTTTTTAAAAACTGAAGGAAAGGGAGGGGGTTGAATTTTTTTAGAAAATTTAAACAGTGAATTTTTGAAGACTTGTAACATTTAAACAGATAGAAGAAAAAAATTTGTTTTATATGTTTTCGAAAGGTTTTTTCCTGCTCTTACGAATGGTGCAAAAAAATTATCAAAAAATTTAAATTTTGACTCATTTTTTTGAAAATTAAACTTTTTTTCGAATTTTTTTTAAGTTCGGCCGTACTGAAAATCCCCACATAGACTCCTATATAGGAAGCCATATGGTTTCCTATACAAAATCGTATACGTAATTGGAACAGGAATTTGAATAGGAAATTAAGTAGGAATTATCATATGAATGCACATTATATCTTAATATCATGCGCAGTATTTTTCTTCAACTTTTTCGGCTGCGCAATAAATATTTTTCATCTCTGTAGTCTATCAGGAACCTCTACTATTGAAGGATATATATCTTAGAGTTAAAAAAAAAAATTCATATTATAGGAATTGAAATAGTAATATACATAGGAATGTACATTCCTCTGTGGATGTGGATATATGATAATTCCGACTTAATTTCCTATTCAAATTCCTGTTCCAATTACGTATACGATTTTGTATAGGAAACCATATGGCTTCCTATATAGGAGTCTATGTGGTTTCCCATATGGGAGCCTATGTGGGAATTTTCAGTAGGGGGGTCCTTTTTATTTTTTTTATTTATTTTTTTTGAAAACTAAAAATGTGTATTTTCACGATAAAAAATATTGAGGTGTCCTTTTTTGTTATTTTTGAGATATTAATTAATTAATTAATTAATGTTAATAAAAAATGAAATATTTCACAAATAAATAAAGTTACGGCAATCCTGAAGGTTCCAATTGAAAGCTGGCGTAATTCCGCATCCAACGAGCCCTATATGAACTATTTGTGATTAGAGGATTTATTATTAACAATTTCCATGGTAGCCAATTGTTTATTAACAAATTTTTTTTCTTCTTTCTGTTTAAAAGTTTCAAGTCTTCAAAAATTCACTGTTTAAATTTTTCAAAAAAAATCCACCCCCTCCCTCTCCGACAGTTTTTGAAAAAAACCTAACAATACTTCTTGGTTCAATTGCTCACTTATAGGGCTAAACTATGTGCAAGTTACACCCCGATCCGATCAACTTTTTTTCACTTAGTTCGCTACAGGAATTTTACCCCATATATATTTTTGAAATGAAACTTGTTTAATGTTATTAATATTTGCTTTTTAAAATGATAAAATAACTGAAACTTTATATATTAATTTATTAATAATAAAATTTTTTATTAAATTTTATTGTAATACTTCAAAAAAGCGCGCTCTTTTCCGTCAACCAATAAAAAAAATGTACCTTATAGGCAAGATTTTTAAAATCTTTTTAAAATCTTGGCAAATTTTATCCAATAATTAAGTTCGAGAAAATTTTTACTTTTGAAAAATGTTTTAAATGTAATTGAATTTTTGGGGAATTTTATTGTAATAAGTAGCGTTGTCAAAAGACGTTAGAAAACAATTTTTTTAGTATACTCAGACAATTTATTTTTTATACTGAAACTTGTCATTGGGAAAATAAATCTTTTAAAAATGTGTGGACATTATATTTTGTATGCAATGGTGCTAATATATATCCCGTCTTCGTTTGTAGATTTCTACTTTGAAAAAAATTGATTTAGTAGATAACAATTATTTCATTTTCTGTGATCATAAAAGCAGTTTAATTGTCTAAAGCAAGTATCATTAAATATATCAAGTTATTTTAAATTACGCTTTATAACTTGTAAAACGAAAGAAACTGGTATAGGATCAAACTTGTAGTTGCACTCAGAAAGTGTTGAACGTTATAGAATGTTCATTGAAGGTCGGATCGCTTGGTGAGTTTCAGTTGTGTGAGTGAATAGAGTAGAAAGACCCGCCTCGTAGACTTTCAAACGTCCAATGAGAATTCAAGTGGTCGGCCATTTTGGTCCATTCGGAGGCTGTGCTTACTGATGGAAAGCTTTAGAGAAGGGGAAGAGAAGTGTACGGAAAGAGAATATGATCAGCCCCATTGACGCCTTCGTTTCTCTTGCGGAAACTAACACTTGAACTCGTGTGGGTGAAACTCTATTGTAGGTTTCCGCGTGTTCGCATGAGACGCACTGTGTTTGTATGTACTTGCCGATTGCAGCGCTTCTTGCGGAAGTAGCATGAACCATTCAGTTAGTTATAAATTTCGTTTGAAGATAGTGTTTTACAAAATTTACAAGTTTCAGTTCTATTTAAAATTGAAAGTTTATTTAATTAGTTGAACCTTAAGTTTATTTTGTCGGTGAGAATTATGATAAATTCAATTTAGAAACCATTTTTCTTAACTAGTTTGTGTGTAAATATTTAAAACACAAAGTGTATTTCAGAGCTTCATAAGTTTTATATTTCAATTTTAAAAAACAGAATGTGTTTAGTGTTTGTGTAAGTGAAAATGTGATAGTGTTTGTGTAAAATAGGATGACAAAAGTTGAATATGTATCTATTTTTGTTAGTACAGGATTAACCATCATATTGTATAACAAAAAAGGCTCAGACAAGGTTAGTATACACCAAATTTAAAACTGGGATTTAAATTTTGAAAGAAATTACTATGATTATTTTAGCGCTTTTTGATACAATTTCATATATGGTATTAAGATTTTTCTGGCGCTACTTATTGTTATAAAATTTTAATTTTGTTTAAACTGCAAAATAAGGGCATATAAGAAGAAATCTTTCTCTCTTTACGTTACAATTCTGCGGTTTAACCGGAGATTTTGGAACCAAATCAAAACCATATCAATTTTCAAAATTCAAAATGTCTGAGCAACTCCCGAAATTTGAATTATTGTCTCCCTTTTTGCTTTTAAATTATTAAAATTTATAACTAACAGTAGAAAAAAATTTTTTACTATCTAATTAGTAAAATTTTTAAATTCAAATTTAAAGTAATATGACGAAAGATTATTTAAATTTTCATTAAAATTAATTTATATTTGTTTCACAGGGTTTTTGTGGTTGATAAATATACGAATCTTATGTCAAATTTAAAAAAAGTAGTATATTAAACAAGTACTTAACAAAAGGAATAGGCTCCTCTCTTTGAAAGTTTATAACTCGCAGGTAAAAAAAATCGAATTACATTGAGACAATTTGGAATCAGCAGCTACACTATTCCTATACGTTACAATGCATTCGAGCGTCATGATCCGAGAAACGACCAAGTTTATCGTTCTTAGGGTTCCGTTCACGCAGTGAAGCGAAACGGAACCCTTATGGTTTCACTCATGTCCGTCCACAAATTCATGTCCCCCTCCCTTTAAAATCTAGCCATTTCAACCGATTGAGCTCAAACTAGGTATGCATACGTATTTTCGCAAGTAGATTAAACGAAAATTATAGTGAATCCGATTGGAATTGGATTGCCTATAGTTATATTCGAAAAACTCGAAATTTCTGAAAAAAGCGCGTTCCCCCGTCTTAACTTTTACAGTTTAGGAACTAAGAAGCTGAAACTTGGTACACATATTTAATTTCATGTGTAGATTTTACGAAAAATATAGTTAATCCTTTTGAAATTGACTTAAATATTGCTTCGCTACAAAAACTCATAATGCCTGAAAAAAGCTTAAAATTCCTTTTTATTTTAACTTTAACAATTTTTTAGCCAACCATCTCAAAGTTTGTACATATATATGAATATATTTACTAGCAAATTGAAAGAAAATTATGGAAAAATTATTTTTTTTAAATAAATATAAACATTAAAATAATCGTGAACGGATTAACCCTAGGTAAGCTGATCAATTTTTATTTATTTTGACAATCAAACGATCTCCGAGATTTCTCGGTTTATATATAGACATATATATTTGAGGAGCAAATTTTCAAAACGTGATAAATCCATATTTTCTTATTTCGAGAAATTGAAACAAATGACTTTTCTCACATAACCACTGCAGTTACTTTTAAAATATAAAATTTGTAATAGTTTAATTCTATAACAATGTTTTTATATTTAAGAAGTTCTGTTTTTAATTAAACTTTATCATAATTTAATGATTTACAGGTATTGGTAATTTATAGGAAGCAAAAAAAATTTTTTTAATCTGGTGGTCATTTAAAAAACAAACCAAGAAATCCATTTTGAGATATTATATATTTTACTCAGCAAAAACAATTTGTTTTTAATATAATACGAAAAATGGTGCAGCTTTATTAGGTTACATCAAATGTGAAAATTTTCAAATATTTTAATTGTGAAAAAATATACCATTGAAAGAAATACAGGTACACTAAAACGTCAATCGAGAACAGACGAATGTGTAGTGCTGTTCTCGATTGACGCGATCTTTATCGCTCGAAAATAAAAACACTCAGGGCCGTATGAAGTGCCTTGAGCAACAATGTGAACTTTATCTAGGGAATTTTCACTAGTGGGGCACTGAATACACCTTATTTATTTATTTTATTATTTATTTATTATTTATTTAAAAAAATTGCTTAATTTCAAAAAAATTATATAATTTAACCTTTTGCTTTGAATTCGAGGAATATTCTAACTTTTAAATTTCAATGTTAACATTTATTATAAAAAGGAATATTTAAAAAATAATAATATTGAAATTGTTTTAATAAATTACTTAAGAAATAAAGATACTTCTCAATAACTGTCCAATTTGCAAACAAATTTAATAGTTATTATGACACTGAAAGAAATTTATTTTCATTTATTGATAAAATATGAAAGTTTAAAATAAAATGTTTCAATTTAGGGAAAAAGTGTACTTTTCATAATTACTGTTAAAATTCTTATCAAACTATATAATAAACATAAGAATAAATATTATTTGAAGAATGAAGAATATTAATAAAGATAAAAATAATTAATACAGAGTATGAAAAAGTATTATTTAAAATATAGAATTTGTAAAAATAAATATATAATTTAGCAAGCAGAAATATATATAACATTATCCAGATAGCACGTAAGCTTGCAGCAAGCTTGCCGCGCAATATTGACAATCTTGCACGGCAAATTTGTCTCAAGCTTACTGCAAGCTTTCAGGAGAAAGACTCGTGTAAATGAACGTTTTTTCAGGAATTAAAAAAAACAGGCGAAGTTTATTGAATTAAGGTAAAGCATACCTTAAAGTACACAATATAAGCTTAATAAAATTTTTTTTTATTAAATAATATTACAAAATGGCGGCGTTACAGGCGTTTGAAGTTGCATCTTTAATTTTGCGCCGTATAACCTACAGGTCACAAATCTAAACTAAAATCAAAATTTTTATTGTTAAAATACTCAAATACGCTTGCATGACGAAGAGAAAACTAAAAATTTTTTTTTTTTGAATTTGGGACCATTTTGAAAAAATTACTTATTTATAAACAATGTTAAAAAACAATTGTTAAAAAATTTTTTTTCAAAAAGGGAGCTCCTCATGCAATAGCCAGTAAGATAAAGAAGATTTATTGTAAATTTGATTAAAATCGGTTAAAAATTGGCTGAGCTATACATTACACGGCGCGCTAAAAAACACGTTTCGAAAAAAACGCGTTTAAAGTTTTCGATACATAAAAGTAGTGTTTTAACTATTGCCTTGAAAACGTTATGTATTTAAAAATAACTGTTGCACTAAAACCGCTATATACTATCACTTGCTTATGATGCTTGCTAATGACAATTAATAAAATTATATTGCCAAGAAACTGAAAGAATAGAGAGATCTCGTGCTCATCGTTAACTGCATTTGGTGGCATCTGAAGTGCTAAACTTATGTCTACTATCTGGGTATACACGGAGAGACCCGTAGGAGTAATTTTTATAAAATGTAACACTATGTTTTACTATTTTGCTTTGCATAGTCCAGAAATAATTGACTTTTTGTAATATTTACTATTTTTAGTACTAATCTATAAATATGTAACAAATTACTACGTTTTTTTAAATAATATCTAAAAGTAATAAATTTACCTCAACATTTGTTTGAAAAAATTAATAAATCCTATAGTAAAACAGTAAGACCATCATTTGTAACCAAATACTGTTTGTCATAAGAGCGACTCCACGTCAAGTGATCGCACCGACTTAGGCGATTTTGATAAATTTTTATAATATTGTTAATTTGGGTTCCTTTAAGGGCCAAAAAAAGAAATCTTAAGTATTTTTAAAGAATTCAAAATATTTTTCAAAATATTACACATTTAAATTTTTAGTAATTTTTTTTTTGATTTATTATAACTTTCGTAATTTTTAATCAATCGGGATGAATTTTTTTTTAAATACTCGTATTTAGAAGCTCTTTCATGAATAAAATTAAAAAAAAAAATTGAAAAATTTAAATTTTTATTAAAAAAATAATTTTAATTGTTTAAATAATTCGAAAAGTATATCTTCGATTTTTTTCAAAATATTCATGAACATTCTCTACAATGTCCTGAAAAATTTAAGACCTTGAAAAAGATGGTATGTCTTATAGTTTTCGAGAAAAAAATTATTTAGTTTTTGTAGCGCGTGAAGTCATTGTAAACTATATATACTTATATGAGGTATTTCATATGAGAATACAGGGTCATGTCTCGGATTTTTTTCAAAATTCGGTAAATTGTACTTTCGGTGCTAAATAAGTGTACAAATTTTGAATTTGAAATTTTTCATATTTTTGAGATATTTACAATAACAAATTAGAGCAATATTTTTTTGCTTTACTTATAACTTTTTTCCTACTAAAAATAGAGAGAAGTGTTGAGAATGCAAAAGACCTTATAAGTAAAGCAAAAAAATATTGCTATGACATTTCATTAAAAGATTAATTTTAGATAATTTAGATAAAATTAAATTTTTTAAAAATAATTGATTTATAAACTAGGTAATTAATTTCACTCACAGTAAATACAGATGCCAAAAGTTTCATTTCACTAAAGAACAATATTTAAATTGCATAAAACATTCTAATTATTCATAAATAATGCAAAATAAAAATAGAGTGTGCGTATTAGAATTATGCCAAATTAACTGCCAAATATGATGTGAGGCACAACTCCCCACTATCGCTGGAGCACAACTCCTTATTTTTTACATTTTCAAAATAGTCATAGAATAATTAATACATTGAATGTGTATGCGAATTTTTTTTGTATGTCGAAAAGTTACTGATGACAGCTAATTTTTATGAATTAAACATTGTGATCACTTTGAAAAAATTAGTGGAAATGACCTAAACATAAAGAGACAAAAAAACTTTTAGAAAACAATTTTAACTCACTATTTGCAAACACAGAAAAAAACTGAACTCAGAATGATGCGTGTAGGCGGCTCATTTTGATGTGCAACAAAAATGAACCAGGTTGGTGGCGCCACTGTCTATGTCGTTTAGCATTGGCTCATTTTGATTTGCATCAAAAATGAGACAAGGTTTTTTCTGTGAAGACATGAAAAATGTTTTCGAAGATAACGCACTTAAAAATTTAGTTCTTAACGAGAAAAGAATATATTCCAATATTTGAAAATTGTCATGCATATTAATTGACATAATAAAAAAATTAAGGTGGAG